GGGGGGCAGAAATTGCCCACATTACTCCAAAATATTAATGGTCTGATCTTTATATACAATTACATTCGGGAGATTAGTAATATGTGCATTACAGAAAATACTGCGGATGGTGTGGCTAGCCGCAATGGTTGATTGTGGCCTTTTAAATAAACAGCATTATGTAAGGAGAACGGTGTACTGGACTCAGGCACCTTCACTCAATTTCCTTTTTTGCCTCAACTGACCAAACCACTTGTAAGAGAGGGAAGGTGATGGGAAACAAAACATTTTATGGGGATAGCCATGGTTCTTGTGTACCCCCATGAGACCAAAACATTCACAAACACCGCGTCAATTATTGTAGGGAGCAAACATTCACTGTACTGACCAGGTAGCAAAATAAGGGTTAGAGAGCTGTTGGGGGGAACATGACAATACAAGTGGGCTACCTAGCATGACTATACATGTACATGTACTTGCAATAGACAAAATTCCCTGCAGCAACTACTGATGTACATGTAATGTAATGGGTTATCAAAAGAAAATGACAGTAATTAGAGAATGAACTAGTCATTACTTGTATATTGTACATCTACTTAAAGGATTACAGCTGTCTGTGTTATAAAACATTTTTATGAAAATTAATGATCAATACAAATGCAAATCCATTTGGCTACAACTAATGAAATCTGGTTTCACGTATTACTTACACAGACTGGTATTTGCTGTATCACTGCCAAGAAAATTTTCGACTCTGCAGCTGTAGTTCATATCCTTAAGAACTTCAGGAATAAACAATGTGCTCTCATGACAAGCACTTTGCTGTGGATCACATGGAGTCCAAGTATAAGTCGGCTTGGGATTTCCCTCTGCTGGACAGTCAAGAGACACTCTTTGTTGTGCTGCAACTTCAAGATCTCTTTTGTGTCTACTAGTAACAATCTTTGCTGGAACTGTAGATTTAAAGAGGTGGGAAAAAAGAAAAGTACACTGTGTTCATGACTCTACATTGAGTTTATGAGAGTTCCAATTGATGCAAAATAGCCATCAGTATCCTGCCAAGGTAACTTTGGGCTAGCTTATAGTTTAATAAGCTTTAGCTGCACAATTAGGGCTTAGAACTTCAATTTAACGAGTATTTGTGGCTGGTATTGGTGATATTTGGCTAGAATTGTGATGTGGGCAGTGTTGTAGTTTGGAGAGGGTTCTTCACTGCTCCATCAATTTCAAAGACATACATGTGTACCTGGGATGTAACAAACATTCCACATTTTGCTTAGTCAGATTTATAGCCTATGCTGTGGTTGGTTTGAAATGCATTGCATTCTCAATGTAGAAAGTTCTCGTACAGTCCATTTGAAACAATGTGTACCTTTAGAGAGCTACAGATAAGCTCTTCACCTGGGCCTTGATAATTATGTTTATGTTTGTATTATTTTAAGACTTGGATTTCATAATGACTCTTAATTAAATTAATTGTACAAAATCATGACAATGACAAAACCACATGTGAATTTGGTCTTGCTAACCTGACAATGTATACGGAAGAGTTGTTTTCCTCTTGTTTGAGCTATCAAAAGCTAGCTCTAGGAAAGCATTGCCCCTCATCCTAGGGGGTCTGGGGTCATGGCCCCCTTCCCCTAGAAAATTTTGAAATCTATAATGTAGAAGCTAGGAAATGCCATAAGAAATTGCCAGCTTAGGATTACCATCTCAAATTAGCGAGAATCAAGTGATAAAATCATTACATTGGTTAAAGGTTTCAATTTTCACATTGTTGCATAGGTATGCAAATTTTCTATCTTTTCAAACCAAAAGTTTTTTTCTTTTTTATTATTAAATCAATTTCAAAAAGGCCAGGATAGTTTCATTTGAAGTCCCTGTTTCAAAGGCGGAAATCCATGAAACAACACAGTCATGTTTCAAAAGGAAAATATTTGTACTCATGAGCTCAAATTGTTGCTAGCCAATTAGCAGTATAGAGCAGTATTAGATTCCAATGCTCATGCTAGTTAAATTCAAGACTTTCCATTGTCTTTTCGTATCAGTACTTTTGTGGGTTGTGATCTCCCATCTTGTCTGTCAGCAAATTAAAGTAATCATATGGTCGAATGACCCAAGTAACAAAGTCTGACAACTTATAAAGTGATTACTTGTCTGTATTGACTGAATGTTTCACCTACTTGCCAGGCATGACATTTTGAGGCCAAAAGAAAAAAGATCAATTTTTTGCGATTGTTCACTGCCATGATGTTAGAAGTGACATGGAAATGAGGTTGGCCTGGCCACTTAATTAAAACTGCAAGATGGCTACTAAACCACAATAATGAAAAGGGTACCAAACACAAGAACACTTCGAACTTTCTCTTTAACAAGCTTACTTCCTGTTGCACAAAAAAAAACTGCTGCAAAATTTCAGAGTGTGAAGTTACACTGCCGTCTTAAAGATTTATTGATAAGACCCAATGCCGCTTGTTTGTCACAAGCTGATTGCTACAGCCAGAGTAACTGGTGATATACATTCAGTCAAGTAGGCAGCAGAACTCTGGTAGTCACTGGCTTGTTTTGAAAACGCTGCTATATATATGTATATATCTACATATTTATCAATGAAGTGCCTTCTTGTACTTACAAGTGACATTGACATAAAGTATACGGCTCACTGGGTTTCCAACTCCATTATTAGCTGTGCAGCGGTATGTTCCTATGTCATTTCTGCTGACATTCTTAATAACCCAAGGGTTCTCAAAGGACACTTCTCCACCATCATTACCATTTTCCATGGTCCAAGTAACGTTGGGACCAGGTTTACCACTTGCGTTACAAAATAAAGTTACATTTGATCCTTCAATAATGGTCTGATTGCCACTATCACTGGGTATACTGCTTTCAACTGCAAAGAATGTAGCAAAGAGTCAACATACATGTATACATGTATCATACATGCACCTGTGGCACTGTCTGTAGTAAAAGCTTATTATTGAACATTTGTCGTCATTTAAGGTGGCTCAAAACAGTTTCCAGCACTTAGATTTGATGGATCATTATAACCACTCTTTATCACTTGATGCTACAATCATGGTATCACAAAACTGTTCAATCATTGGTGAACACGTTGTTATCACTTTTGTGAGGCAATAGGTTACCATAGCAACAATATGACCTTCCAGAAATATCCTCAATTACAGCTTTAGGCGCTTATAATTCAAAAATGGCACGGTAAATTTTTTTTTTTTTTTTAATTATTATATTATCAACCTTTGATAAGCATGATAAGAAGCAACTTTTGGCAAACTTTAAAAAAATGCTGTAGGTGGGGTTCAGAGCCACCTTAAATTTTTGAAAATTTAAGGTGGCTCTAAACCCTACCTGCAGATTTTTTTTTTAAACTTTGCCAAAAGTTGCATCTTATCATGCTTATCAAAAGTAAAACAAATCAGACAAATGTTTATGGGCTATATCAGGGCTCAAAATTGCAACCAATACGGTCGCATTTGAGAAACCAAGAGTAGTCAAAAATTTGCGACTAGGTTCTGCCTTGACTGACACAAATTAAAAGGGCTAGCAGTAATCTCGAAAGGAAAAAGAACATTACTTGTGGATGAAAGACACAGTTTATTTAAATAGATATAATAATAAAACAAACCTACAATTCTTTGATCGCCAACTGGATTGCCATGTTTGATTATTCTAAGGCACACTAAAGTAAATGACTCTCTCCCTCGAATACTTCAAAATAGCTACCCCTGTTCAAAATCGCCCTATAATGCATTGTGCAGTACCAGAAAATATCCATACCTCTCCCCACAGAAGAGACTGGAATTTCCTGTGGGTTGGGGGGTTCTCTAAGACCAAAGAATTTAAAGAAATGTATCAAGTTTAATTGGAATTTCTAGAGGGGTGGGGGAGTTTTCTGGGAAAATTTCACTGAAAATCAATGGGTTTTGCACTGATTTAACGAACGTTTGCAACTAAAAAAGACGGCAATTTTGTCTTTTTTTTTCAGAAAGTGATGAGTGTTAGCCTATGCAATAACAATAGCAACAAACACTGACTTCTTATAAGCATTGCCTTTGTAAAAAGGGGCAATTTTGCAGGAAAATTTGAGCAACTCATTTGGACTATAGTACGTGTTTGTATTCATGTGACGACAAGGTTCTTTTTAACAGAAATCATCATTTGCTCTTTCGACAACAATGTGCTCAAGAAATGCACGAATGGCAAAGCTTTTTACATCGTGGCCACAGTGAGTGCCCAGTTTCTCGCAACATTAATCTAAGAACACCTGGTAGTTTTTGGATGTTGTTTACTCGTTGCAGTGACCAAGTATCACGATAAATTTGCGAGTTTACGGCAACTAAACAGCCCCAACAGCCGAAATAAGTTTCAAATATGTTGCAGTGACATGTATTTGGTACAATTTCCAGTGAATTTTGTGGTATTTTGCGTGTTTTAGTAAATTTCACAGGACTTCGCGGATTTACTTGAAATTCGCAGCTCTGCGACCATGTGAAATATCAGAAGTCCTGCCAAGTATAGACAAAATTCCTGCGCCCATTCCTTCAATAATTTAATTGTCATCTCCCAAATTCTGTAAGACACGTAACCAGACCCAACCAGGGTCTCTCCTCGCCTGTACCAGGGGGCAGTAAGATGGGAGACTCTAGGAACGAGGTTGGTCTTATGTTATTACTCGTTGTTTTTCATCTGCAAGTATTGTGGAATCAATTTTCAGCCGATTAAAATATTCTGCAAATTGAAGACATGGCCCAAATTCTCACTTTTCATTTCTCTGAATGCAATTGCTTTCAAAACTTTAAACCCTCTAAAACGTAACCAAATATTTTTCTACTCCGTATAATCAAATAGCAGTTTTACAGATCTACATATTTTTTTTTTATGTCTGTGGTTCAACCACTGACATGTTTTTGTGTAGAGCATGAATGCAGAAATTAGTCACGCTTTGTAGTCATGACCACTACCAGTTCCAATTTCATCTAATTACACAATTTTTTTTTTATTCAATTGACCCTGAAAATTTTGGGGGGAAATTTGCTTTCAGAAAAAGTCGAATAATTTGTTTCAGGCAATTTTCAAGTCCTGAATGTAATTGTGAGTTTTATACTGACAAGCAGTCCATGCAGGAGATCATTTCATCTCTTTTCCCATGGTTTCCTTAGATGTCGTGGGGAACTTGATACGCAGGAAAGGATGGAAAACATGTGTGATCAATCACTAGTAATATCGTCACACCCTTCTCCAGAATGGCAACTGAAATTTGAAATCAATCTGTATGATAAAAACAATACCCCAACAGCAAGGAAGAGCTTGGATTAAAATAAAAAATAGAAATACGAAAAAAGTTTAAGGCAGTATGCCACAATTTCTTTGAGAAATCACGATTTTTAAAATTCCTAAAAATTTAGGTGTTTGCACGACTAGGGGTACAAACATTTGTAAATTTGTCAATTTTCAATGGGTAAACTAATACCTGACTTAATGTAAAGGTCCCCTTTCTGGTGCTAGCATCAATTTTACATTCAGTTGAATTAACTTTCAAGCCATTCGAATTTGCAACCAACATTTTGGCTAAGGGTCTACACTGAAATACCAAAATATCTCAAATGTCTTTTATTTTTTTAATTTCTCACGATAAAAAAAAAATTTTTGTCCAACCAGACTTGCTTTTTGTGAGGTCAAAACTTGTCCTTGGCCTGATAAATGACCTGCTTGAAGACAAAAATTATTTGCAGGCTTGATAATGGTACTAGCATACGTCAACGTACATTATCCGGTATTGTAAAATCCATATGAAGTCCACATCAGGTGAAGACTTGTACAGTTCATCGATTTTACTTCTGGGTGTTCCCATTTTGGGCAGCTGAGTTTCTTTAAGCTTACTTCTTTTACTTTACACCTTAAAAAGGTCATTTCATTTAAACTAAGATGAAGATAAATTTAAAGGTGAGTTGTGTCAGCATACCTCATTTGCATTATGTTCACAGACCACTGAGTGATCGAGCCATCAAATGCCCACATTTTCTATTTTTATTTTCTATTGTGCACACGCAATGTGCAGGTTTAAATAGGTGAACAAACTAGCTGCTGTGTGCAGATTCGTATTAGAACACACAAAACCGAGTATAGCCTTGGCAGAAAAAAACAACTGATGACTCACTTCCCGGGGCTCCTTGCTTTCTTTAAGGCTTTTTCTTCAACGATTCCCTACCCCCGCCTTCTTTGCATGCTCTTACTGACTAGTCCCGTGGGTCTCCGAGGATGATGTTTATATACATAAGTTAACGTTCTCACCTAAAACAATGACACGTATCTCATATGCCCACACATTTCCCACCACTGTAAGCCTGCATTGGTAAACTGCTTCTTCTCTTTCAGTGACTTTGTTTATTATCAAGGTGGCCACTTCACTTGTACTGATGTCAAAACGTGTTCGGTAATCATTTTTGTCATTCACAGAAGCAATATTATTAGGAGATAAAGCTCCGATATCATCACTGTTGCCATCATCAATAATATAAAATGTGGTTAGTAGCAGATTTGAGCCAGCAGACAGAGTGTAATTCCACCTCAGAGCCACCTGAGTACTTCCTTTTACCACTGACATGTCAACTCTTCTAATATCATTTGGGTCTGTCTGAGTCCAGGGTGAAGGAGGTGCTGTCCATGTTATTGAAGTCGCTAATAAAGAAACACAACGTTCAAGGTTTCTGAGAGATGAATTTCAAGTGTAGCAACTTCCTTGCCCACCACCTTCATCAATTTTTCAAGTCTGACAATTAGCTACATAACAGATCTACACTAGCCTACGAATTATTCTCGATGGTATGTCACTGTACAAATTTCTGTATGAACTTACCGACAAGCTGTAAATTTGCAACCAGAAGAAGGAATATTATACTAGACCCAACTGAACTAGGGCGTTCAATTATTCGATTACTTTTAAACGTAGCCATCTCGGTAAGTAACTTAAAACTATGGCACTTTACGTTCCTTCGCGTTCCGTAATATAGCAAACGCGGAAATGGCCTTCGGTCCATATAGCTTAGCTTCCAGGCCTATTGAAGTCATCATCATTACGTCACCATAGGTCCGCTGTGCGTGCATGAGAGAGCATTGGTAGGGTTCAAACAAGTAATCAACGATCAACAGATCGACAACTTAACTCAAAGGTATGTCAACATGTAAATGACTACAGAAGTCAAAATCCAAAACAAATTTCATCGATGGAAGCCTAGATAAGAATTATCCAGGTTTGTAAACCAATAGGTAAAATCAAGCTATGAATGGTGTTCTGGCATACACAATGTTTTGCACTTCGTTGAGAGTTTTGTTTATTTTTAGACATTATGTTTGTTTTCTTAGTGATAAAACCG